CGTCTTACCCCACGTGTGTCAGGGGACAGCTGTAGATTCCTGTAATTCACATCACTGGGTGTCCATTTATCACCGTTTAGTCTGAATAAACAGGAGGGTGGTAGCAAGTTTCAGGGTATCGCGTTCTTCCCCCCCTGTCACGGGAAGCTGCCGCGTGACAGGTAATCAGATTTTTTTTTTTTTTTTTTTTTTTAAAACCTCGTCATCTTTTCCATTCTCATCAGTGACGCCCCCATCCCATTTGAACAGGATGGGAAATAAGATCCTCTGACAACATAACTGAGATTTAAATATTTCACGCTGTGTGCTGCTTGTAAAAGAAAAATAGAATTGTCGACGTGGGAAATAACAGGAACGAGTGAAATAAAGGAGGGTAAAATGGTAGAGTAAGATTTTGTTAAGTTCTGTGTAAGTAGACCAGTGGAAAAGCAGCATTAATGATTTGCATAAACTGAAGTTTTGTACGGGAGATTACAGTCTTCCGTCCACAGTGATCTGTCAATATGAACGACAGCAACGTGTCTTTATCATCACACCCCCGGACTGCTACCCCCTGGTGCCCTCATAATCAGGGGTAGAATTTTTATTTCTGCCCTTCCCCGTCCCCCAGATGGTTAAAAAGCTAAACAAATAGCTAGCAGGTCGTAGCTAGACGGCTAGGAGATCATGCGGCTTCAGCAGCTCCCGAATAAGGAACGTTTATTTATTATTCAGTGTAGTGACTGTTTTGCCCAACAGGGGGACAAACCTCTGGGACCCCACGCAAATGTGTGGTTTGTAGTTAAACTGTTCCTAGTAGCTCTCGCATCTCCTACATCCCACATCTTGGGAGTTGAAACCTTGGCATCACTTAACGGGTTTTCTAAATTTTGACTGGAAAAACCATGTAAGATCAATAAACCGAACTGTGCGGCGTGGGCGTGCCTGGATGCTTTATTTGGGATACATATTTAACAAAACCGTGAACTGGATCATAAACAGAAGACACCAGAAATATACACAGCAACACAAGACACATTATGAGAGTTGTTGTATTGCAATCATCATTTCAACATAAAAGCGCTGCCGTTTTTGTCATCAGAAACAATAGGGTTTCATTCATTCACACACACGAAGTATTTAAGCATTTTAAAAAGTCAAACGCACACACCCCCAAGCCAGATTCCAAAAGCATCTGACATCTCCCAGTGCTTTAATGTTTTTTGGAGATGAATTATTTACATATTTAAAAGATTACTTCAAATGCGACATGTGTTCTGCAACAACACTGCGATGTTCATGTTATTTCAGAGCTACTGGCTTGTGTACTGGTTTATGATATTTAGCTTGTATGTCTGTCTGTCTATCGCATTTTTGTTCCTCTTTAATCACACAAATAGAAATGGCACTGGATTTAATCAAGAATATAAAGCCTGCTATAATTATAGATAGTAGGTTAAAGTACCTTCCATTATATGTTATTAAAGTACTATACAGGCTTCAGCAGACAGAATTAAAATAACAAAATCCTTATATAAATGATTATATACGAATGACCCACTGATGTTAACGTAATTGAAATGTTGCATCTAGTGTGCAGTTCTGTGGTCCAGTCGGGATAGGTGTGTTGCTCTTTGCTTTAAGTTACAGCCGTGAGTAAAGGCTAACATCCGAGTGCATTAGCTGAGAGAGTCGTGGGGGTGCGGGGGGGGGGTGTCAATGGTAGTGTTTTCCATAATGCATCTCCTGCTCGCACGTTAAACCAAGACATCCGAGCGGCGTATCAAAATTCAAGTGGACTCTGAAGAGACAAGAGCTGCATTGTGCTGCCCGATCATTGCTTACCGAGCCGTGGGACTCCATGTTAGGCTGGCCAAGACATATTTCCCTAAAATTATGCTGTACGGAGTAGCGGTAACAGCCTCATGAGCGATTCATGCTGGATGACCAGAGAGTGCAGGTGGGAGGTAGGGGGGACTTGACCAGAGGTGACCCCCATAGCCCGCAGTGGCCCAGACACCTCGCTAAAGTCTCAAGCTTGTCTTCTATGGGTGGCTCCTGCAACCGTCACCCTCCTTCGGACCGTAGCCACTTCACACAGCCGTCCCACTGGAAAGTGTCACGGGGGGCTTCGAGGACCCCAGACGCCTGGAAGAGTGAGATAAGGATCGCTGCAATAACGCGCCGCTGGCTCTGGACTCTGTAACGCGTCCTTATCCACGGATGCCTCCCCCAAAGGCACCCAGAGGATGTGTTCAGATATCGGCCCGTACTGTTTGGACTCGCAGAGGAATATGTGCCAAATATTCCTCTCTTTGCCACTTCTTCTAAATGCCTGTTTAAATTTGGAATAGTATACAGTTTACTTGCATGGTGGCACCAGCAAATTAATCAATATACACTACCAACACTGGTGAAATTGCATTTGACCTTGTACAGGCGTGACCTGCCACACCAGACTGTAGTTTGACGATGGTGTGATTAAACATGTTAGGGAACTGGACAACAGATACATTTTTTAGTGTGGTATTGACGTGCCTAAAGTTCAGATTCAAATCAGAGGAGGAGAAAACGTTCGCGGATGATCCCCCTCACAGTGTTGAACATTTCAAAGGTTATCAACACAAAATTTTGTTTTGCTGTTTTATAAGCATGCTTTTTAAAAGAATGTTAACATAAATTATCAGTGTAAATATGAAAACTCGCACGAGGCGAATCGCTGAGCAGTCTCATCGTGTTCTTTCAACGCGTTGAGCCAAGCAGAAATACATTTATGCATGGCTTCAAAGCTTGTGAAAAAACACCTCAACCCCCCCCGCACAGATCATCTCCACGTTCCTTTGACTGGCGAATGCTAACGCTTGATCAGGTGAATTCGTTTCAGTGACTGAAGTTTAAAAAAAAACACAGGGAGTCGGATTTTGGAAATGTGATTCATGGCGAACTAAAAATATCTAAACAAAAAGCCAAAATGAAGCCCGGCTGTGTTATGTAGAGAAACAGGAGACTGAGATGAGGAGTCATGTAGGCGATAGCGCAGCGACACCAGAGGGCTTTAACTTATTTGGACTTGTCCCGCCGATGTCACCATGACAACTAGACGACGCTCTCCCTCAGGCTGTTTTTCTGCTCTTTTCTGCTCATTTCACGTGCCAGCGCCCATCGTAATACGGATGTCTGCCTAGAAACGTTTCGGTTTTCCTCTCACTGTCTTTTGCTCATCAGCGCCACAAGACGCTTTAACATGAGAGTCATCCTGTCATGACTCATGCCCCTCGGATCTCCGGTACCCCCAAGAAACACTTAAGGAGTTTATGAGGGTGCCATAATGTAACCCACTGCTACCACCACGTGGACAGTTAGTGAATTACGCAAGCGGCGTTAACTTTTCAGCTACAGCACGAATTAAAACGTAACCCCCGTTAATAACCGTTGATGTTTGATATAAGCAGGTCCGTATTTTAATTACAAACCATTCCTGGCAGATAAATGCACAGTCATCATTATTTTGGCCTCAAATTAGCCTAGTAGCATCCTCTGTATTTTATACTAGCTTATAAATTGTGGTGCAGTTTTCATTTCCCATGACACCGATTTATCTGTTTAACGAGTTCCATGCACATAACAAATGTCTTAAAATATATAAATATATTTCATGAATGTATTTCTAAATACCTAATTTTATATTTATTATAGCATGTGACAAGGAAAAATGCAATAAGTAAAACAGCCCTGGAAATTGTCACAGATGATTATACCCCCTTGGATCATTAAATACTGATTAATTTTTTTTATTCACACTAAAAACCAGACCCGACACAATTTACGAGCAGTCATTAAAGTAAACTAGATTTGTAAAATGGAACACATCTGGTGGTTTCAAGCCCAAAGAGAAATCTTTGTAAGCTGCTTCCCTGTTATCCCATGAGGCGGATAATGTGGATAAGAATGAAGATCGATAAACCAGCTCTGTAATGCAAGCGAGGATGAGTGACTGGAAAAATGAAATGTTCATATATTGCTTGATAGGTTAGAAGAGGTATATTATATAGCATTATGAAAAGCACCGCACAGAATATAATTCTGTTTTTCTTATGTCTTCCTATTCCTCCAGCCATATACAGTCTTTGCTCTGAAAATGTAATCCATCCACCTTTTCGGATCCAGGTTAACCGTGATCTGGAGCCTGTTCTGCAGGGCAGGTGTCAAAGTCAGGATATAGACCCCACAGGCAGAACCTGGTATGAAGAACTGAATCTGCACCTTCTGTCTGCAGGTAGAATGAATCATCTGAGGTTTTTGTGTCCAGTACATGCAGGTTCTAACAGATACTTTGCACTTTAGTCAGCTGTGTTGTTAAAACTCATCCATCCCTCCATCCACCATTCCATCTCATGGCTGCTTCTCAATGTTGGTAGAGAGCCTCGTGTTAAACTGTGTGCGAAATTATATGTGTTCAAACATGTACATTGTCCTGTATTGTCTTGCATGTTAAATGTTGTACCAGGGCACAACCACCAAGATAGATTCCTGGCATATTTATCATAACTTCAGGCCCGGCTCTTGCTATTGGCCGCACGTGGAGGGCAGAGCCAATGAAGTTCTTTCTGATTTTGAGTATAGAAATGTATTCAGCTGCGAGACCAGCGGCACAGCGGAAGGTTAGATGTATAGCATCTACGTTCCGGTGTGTTGCTCAGTATGTTTGGGATCTGGGGTGTATCCGGAAGGTTGTGGGTTTGAATCCCGTAGCTGGCGCAGTAATCAAATCACATCTGAGCCCTTCAGCAAGGCCCTTAACCGCAGCTGCTCCAGTAGCACTTGTATGTTTCTTTGGACGAAAGCATCTGCTAATTAAATGTAAATGCTATTCAGTCCAGTAAACATGCAAGTGATAGAAAGAATCCAACATGGATAAACACTGAGTCACAGCTTCCACTGATAAAGATCCTGGTTCCATGGGGAGAAAGTGTTTTTCTCAGTTTTTTTGTTCAAAGAGATGCTCTACTTAGTATCATCAGTATGATGCACAGAAAAAAAAGTTTTAATATTTATAATGCATGTACAATATATGCATCATGTATTACATACATTCTTAAAAAAAGATGAAATCATGTTCAGATAAAGGAATTTGAACCATTTTTTCCATTTTAAGTCATCTTCATTAAATTCGGAATTCCTGAGAAGAGCTGACACACAAAGTGCAGGCAGTACCACCTCCCACCAGTAGGAGTCAGCACTTTGTGCTTTCTGTCTTGGGGGAATGAATGTACAACAACATGCCCAGCTTCTCAACAAGTGCATAATTATGGCATTTCATAGCTGAATTTTGGGCCAGTTAAAGAACTGGTCACAATGTTCACAATGTAAGGGAAAGTTGTTGATTATAGACCGTTTATATTCTGTTTATTGGCTTAGGAACTGATATATTTTATCCAATGAAAATTAGTCACTTTATCCTATTTATTTGATTATGCTGGAGAAATTGAGGTCAAGTCCCTACATGGCCACATTCCCTGTGATGTTTGAGAATAATTTCCTAAACGGGAAAAGTCTGGTGCTCGAAGATAAAACATCAGCCCCGGATAAATTAATTTCCTTCTAATTGCATCCACCCTCAGTAGAGTTAAGATGGTATTTCAAGTAATATAGTGCTGGCTGAGAGAAACAAAGAAGAGAAATTCAGACATTCAGTACTGAAGGGAAGTGACACTGCATCAGGAGAACACCTGGAAAATAAGTCAATGAGGGGGCAACAAAAAACCCTCATTGAGTGGTGGACCCTCGGGGAATGAGGAGTGGGGGTGAAATTTCCACAGCTGAACCGACGAAGCTGTGGACATGGCAGAGTTACGGATCTGCCTCATGTTCCTCTGTCAAGATCCAGCTCATGGGAGTTTTACTTGCATAAAATTGTTCTGAGGGCAGAAGGGAAAATGATTGGTTCAGGGAGATAACCAATCAGATTGAAGAGGAGGTGGGTCCAAGCAACTAGAGGAGGCGGGACCAAGATATGATTGGTTGGTCCCACCTCCTCTACAATCTGATTGGTTATCTCCTGCCTGGATTTAGTGGGATGCGCGCCCAGGTTGGACAGTCGCTCTCCCCTGAGGTACATCATGAGCAACTTGTCATTCCGTAATCCTCCATTTTTGCAGCAAATCCTAAAACACTGATTTGCTTTAACAAGTTTTCTCACCCTCCCTCAAATAAGCAATGGGTTCCAATATACCTCATTATGTGATAATTGTGCAAAAATCCCCACCCCCCACCAATGTATCTCTAGCAGCAATGTCTCATCTTAAACACTCCATGACCATCCAGCAGCTGCACATTTCTGCAGTTACATCTCCAGCTCTTCTTTGTATGTAGATGCCAGAGTGAAGTCATTTCCGATTACAGCATGGGCCCTAGAATAGTCCTACAGTACTTGCATCCATACGTTTAACCTTAGAACAAAAATAACTAGAACGCTCTAGTCCATGTTTGTATTTCTATATATTTTTTCTTCTTTCTTGTCAGGAAGCCAGCATGTGAGGTGAAAGCACATTCTCCGTCATCAAATTTGCCGGAAGATTCCACACAGTAAAGGTGGTCAGCAGAATTTTGAAAGTAGAGGTAAGTACTTCCTGTAGGTGACTCTAATGACCCCGCAGTTCGTTGCCCCTAAAGAATAAGAAATTTTGAAGTTGGACTGAAAAGTAAACAAAGGAATGAACCCAGTTGCTGTTCTTGAGCACCCAATGGGCAGCGTCACAGCGCTCACAGGGTCGGGCGTGACCAGGTCCGGAAGCCCAGCGTATGTGCATGCACGCAGTCAGTCCTCTGGGTCTCTGGCGGTAGGAGTGGTCCTTCACAGCAGAACACAGCAGCGGCAGAACCTCTGACGGCTTCCCCCGACGGACGGGGGCGGAGTGACAGGAGCGAAGTAGGCATGCACTTTGATGTTTGGCAAATGGGTCTGAGGAAGACAGAGACATGGGAAGGAGGAGTTGGAGAGTCTGTAGGCCAGCAGGAGATGGTGTGGTGTACTGGTACAGACTAAACGATTCGCTAACTCACACCAAAAACCTTATGTTGCTGTTTACTTGAAAATACGGACCAAAACAAAATAAATTAACAATCAATGAGGTGAAATTTATAAGGCTAGGAGTGTATGACGGCATGTGAAACCATGCAGGTCGGTGTATTAATGTGTTACATGTGGGTGTGCAACACCACGTTGAAGTGTTTGTTCAGCACAGGGCGGAATGTTAGAGTACAGCAGTCCCCCGGTATCTGCAAGTGATGCGTTCCAAGACCTACAGCCGATAACCGCGAACCATCCGCCGATAACCGCGAACCATCCGNCGATAACCGCGAACCATCCGCCGATAACCATCCGCCGTGAACCATCCGCCGATAACCGCGAACCATCCGCCGATAACCGTGAACCATCCGCGGACCCCATATATAACATGATTTTCATGCACGTACATATTCATAAACTATGCAATCTAAGACATTACATTACAGTAATAGTAAATTCCTAATTAGTTAATTAAAGTACAGTACTGTGCTCCCTCAGATGAAAGGGATTCTCACATTTCAGCCTAATTCTCAAGAGATGGTAGAGAGATGAAAAAAATATGTATCAAGGGATGATGAAGTGATGAAAATCATGCTTTTTATACATTTTCATAACACTGTGACAACAAGGCAACATATGCAATCACTGGGAATTCTAGAGGCAGCCTGCATGCAAGTTTTGTGGGGAAGCTCTTCACATTGAATTAAGTGTGAGTATTTGTACAGTGTGGGAAAGTGTGACACAATGAATATGAGTATTAATACAGCGCATTTCACACTGAATGAACGTATTTGTCCAATGTATAAAAGTACTTCACACTGGATGAGCGTGAGTATTTGTACAGCACAGGAAAGCACTTGACACTGCATTAATGTGAGTATTTGTGCAGCACAGGAAAGTGTTTGGCAATGCGTTGGCAAGTATTTCAGTAACACCAGGTGAGTGTGAGGGTTTCGACAGCACATCGAGGGCATGTGTTCCCGTAGCAAGTGACAGTCACCCACCCGGAGCCTCTTGATCCCGGCGCGGGTGATCTGCTGGCAGTCGTAGAGCTCAATGCGGTCCAGGCTGTGGCAGACCTTCAGATGCTCCAGGGAGGCGTCGGTGATCAGAGGGCAGTTGTCCAACTCCACCACCTCCAGCCGATCGTGGGCGCATGGCCCGCTGCCCAGGTGTCTGATGCCGTCGTCCGTGATCAGCTCGCAGTGGGACAGGCTCTGGGGGCCAGTGAGCACACCGATGTCATTCCCGGAATAGCACGCATGATTTTCCAAATAATTCCCCGTTGTTCTGTACGTCAGCCACCATTCGCGGCGCAGATATTTAAAGTACAGGCTGCTGTGTAATTTCCATAATAAAGCTACCAGTATATTTCAAGATCAAAGCTCACTGCTCTATCACTTCTACTCAGCCCCCAAAGTGGAGCAGCTGACTTACAGTGCCGTGTGGGACGTGTTGTTCTGTATCTCCTCTCTTTCATTCAGGTCAGCGGTGTTTTTCTGATTCAGTCAGACACATATTCCCAATAGACACGGCAGTCAAAGCAATTACCAGATCTGTCAGCCACATAGTATCCTCCTTTTTTCATGTTGCCCTAGATGACAGGGGTTGCTAAATAAACAAGTGAATGGTGAGGGCTTCCATTTAGGTGAGCTATGTGTCAACTGGCGCATCGCAATGGGTGTGTGTGTGTGTGAGGGACAGACCGGTGTCCGCTCACCAGGACCTGCAACCGGGGGCAGTGGATAGACAGCTGGATTAGCGTGGCGTCTGTGATCTGGGGGCAGAGAGATGGAGGGGTAGGGTCAGTCTAAGAGGCAGTGTTTATACAGAGCAGGGGGTGGAGTCATTTTGGTGGGTGGGGTTTCATTGAGCAGGGGTGGAGTCAAGTTTGAAGGCAAGGTTTCTCATTGGTGTGGATCTCAGACTTGCAGGGGGCATCTTGGGGGGATTTTCCAGGCCACTTACCTGCACGCACTCCTCCAGGTCCATCTTCTCCAGCTCGTGACAGTTCTGACGGGGTAGAAAGAGTGAGGTTTAGCACAACAAAGGCCCAAATGAGCCGATAACCACTTCCTTTCTGCTTTGGGGATTTAGTCATGAGTGAGTGGCTGGTCTGTAAAACGCCTAACATGACTCTGTAACTCATCAATGCAGCTATAATTGCACTGGCGACGGCAGGCAGGTGTCGCGGTAAAGAAAGCGAGAGAGTGCGTCGGTTTCCATAAGCGTGCATCCGAATGACTCAGCGCGTGGTCACCCGTGAGCACGAAGCCAATTGGTCTGAACACAATACAGAGCGATTACATAAATGGGGGATGACACGGTACGGGGGAGACCCCACCCCTTCCTTTACGACTGCCCCTCCCTGTGTGGATGGCACTTGTCAAGTGAGCTATACAGTACATACACTCAGAAGCCATTTTATAGGATACAGCAGCTAGTTAAACGCTAACAGTCTGTTCCTCACGACACCCAGTCACGTGGCTACAGAAAAAAATATACAGCATGAAGACGGGATCAAGAGGATCAGATATTATTCCAGTAAGTATTAGAATCTCAGTAATTCTGAAAGTAGGATTATCGATGGTGCTGGTCGTGACGGTTCCAACATATGAAAAACACAGTAATGTTTACTGAGGTCAGTTCTGTGAGGTGAAAACACCTCGTTAATGAGGGAGGGCAGAGGAGGACGGCCAGACTCGCTGAAGTCCGGGCCAGACTGTGGTCCTTCGAGGTCCCTGGGCACCTGCCTTTTAGAGGCACCTGCCATTTAAAGGCACCCCTGTTATGGAGGGGATGAGAGACGTACAGGTACAGTGAACAAACCACATACTGGATATTGGGCGTGCTGGGGGCCCTTGTGGTTAACTCTCATTGTATGTGGAAAGGGCCCCAGGGGCCCCGGCAGTCAGCTTGCACCTTAGACAGCTGGGGGCCCTCATTGATAACTTACAGTATATATGTCAAGAGGACCTGGGGCCCCTAGCGGTCAAGTTGCACTCTACATACAGAAGGCTCTGGGGGCCCCTGGTGGTTAAGTTGCACTGTACATGTTGAGGGGCCTGGGGCCCCTGGTGGTTAAGTTGCACTGTATATGTTGAGGGGCCCGGGGCCCGGGGCCCCTGACGGTTAATTTGCACTGCATATGTCAAAGGACCCTGGTGGTCATCTCTAGCTCTGTATGCAGAGGGCTGCGATGTTGGACTCGCATTGTATATGAGGGTTGTAATGTTTAGCTTGCACTATAAATGTTGTGGCTCGTGGTCCCTAGTGCTCCGAGGCCCCCTGCAGTCTATGTCCCCAGGGCTCCAGCCCCAATAGCCCGGCCCATAATCCAGCCATGACTAAAGCTAACAGATTTTGTACCTGTGATGGAGGTTAAAGGCCATTCTACCCGGTAGGTTCACCTTTTAAACTAACAGTGTGAGAGATGGAGATGGTGTGCTAGGGGCCGTTACGCTGTGTAAGTCAATGTGAAATCGCCCTCAATGACGGCCAAGTGAACCTGCAAGTGTGTGTGTGTCTGTATAAGTACGCGCGTGCGCGTGCGTGTGCGTGTGCACGCTAGGGGAGACTCACTCGAGCCAGGGTGGTGAAGCCCACGTCTGTGAGGTGGGAGCAGCGGGCCACCTCCAGTATCCTGGGTGGGGGGCAAAGGGGAATACAACAAAAACATAAGGCAGGAGCTTAGAGAAACCCCCCCCCCCCATTTCATGGTACAGTGTACTCTTCCTCACTACATCACCATAGGCCATAGTGAGGACCCAAAGCCAGGGGCGTATACAGGGGCGGGGGCCACAGGGGATGAAAGCTGATTGGCTCCCAAAGTGCTGCCTCCCCTGTCACTCGTTTATTTAAAAAAATATCATTGGCTATTGACAAGGCTGGGACATCTGTATTAATTATAGCCCCTCTTGGGAGTTTTTCCCCACATTAAAAATCCTAGAATGACCCCTCCCAGAAAGTGAGGCCTGACAACATTGGTGCACCTAGATAAGCTATTGGGGCTTTTAATGCGGGGAGCATAGAAACTGTCGAAGCAGGAACGTCTGCGGTACCCGGAGGCTGCGGAGGGGGCCGGTACCTCAGATAGGGGCAGTTCAGGCCCAAGGCGTTGAGGACGACATCCGTGAGGCTGCTGCAGCCAGATACGCAGAGGGCCTGCAGCCGGGGGCAGCCCTGGCAGACGGCGACCAGTCCCTCGTCCGTGACCTGCTGCTCCGGGGGGGGCAGAGACAGGGACAGAGCACATGGGGGGGGGCGCAGAGTCAGCATTTTGGGTGCAGATTGTACAGCGGCGATGGGAGATGACAAAGACACAACGTCTCAGGTGGTGGTTGGGGGAGGGAGACACTCAAAAAAACTATTTTAAACAGAAGGGGGGTGAAGGTGTAGGGAAACTAAAGTCTGGGGGGGGGGGGGGGGGGTTTAAAGAACCAGAAAAAGAGAGAGAGAGAAGCTAGAGGGAAGGACAAACAAAAGATAAAAATAACTCATCCAGGCTGGATTCACACAGCGTTACTTAACGCATCCTGCAGGGGGCCGCGACGTGAATTCACCCCCACTCCGGGCGGCGGCGGGCGGCCCGGAAAGTTCCGGCAAGCCGGCCCCGGCGCTTACCGAACACGTCTGCAGGTTGAGGGTCAGCAGGTTTGCACAGCGAGCCCCGATGTGCTTCAGGGCCTCGTCGCCCACCTGCAGGGGGGCAGGGATGAGGGGGCGGTCAGGCGTGCAGGATGGGCGTGGCCAGGCCAGTTTGGTCTGGGTGGGCGGGGTCGCGGTACCTGCGTGCAGCCCTTGAGGAACAGTCCGCGGAGTCCCGGGCAGCAGCGCGCCACCACTTGCAGCCCGTCTGTGGATACCTGGTCACACCAGGAAATGCTCAGCTTCTCCAGCAGGGGGCAGCCCTCACTGCACAGGGCCAGAAAGAACCAAGTTTGAAACTCGATCAATGCAGTAGGAGGTCGTTTGATATTGAGGGTGGACACAAATTAATGTTTTTAATACAGATATCTATTTATGGGGGGGGGTGAATCCAAATGGAATACACGTACCCCCCGTTCCCCTCGGTTGCTACGCCCTGGCCGACGATGCATCCTGGACTAAGGCTTAAGTCTGTATCATGAAGAATGTGGCATCCTTTAATGGGGCCAAGTAGAGGGGGGGGGGGGAAGAACTGCTTAGCAGATTCAGAATGACCTCCAGCGCGACCCGCATCTGCGGCGTGATTAAATGAGCGTGAGGTCGCGTCCTGGAGCAGATGGGTCCCTGAGCTTGGGATTCAAACCCTTGGGGTTTTAATATCTCAGATGTGAGCAGCCTGGGGAATCGTGCCCGTACCCGTCACATACGCCACACAGCAGAGGTGGGAGGTTCAGGTCCAGAAAGCACAAATCCAGACCGAGATTTTGTTTCAACCAAACGGCTGATCATAAAGACTCCCATTCAGAGTCTGGTTGGTCTGAATTTGTACTTCCTAGACCTGAACTTTCCATCTCTGCTTATCCAGTCATGCCTCACGACGGATACATTCCGAGAAATGTCATTCGATGATTTCATCTTTGTGAGGACGTCAGAGTACTTACACAAACCTACATGGTGTAGCATACTATGCACCTAGGCTAAATGGTATAGCCTAAGTAATGATAAAAAGTACAGTATATTAAATACATAAACCAGTAACTATTATCACTATTGAGTATTATGTACTGTACGTAATTGCATGTGCAGCACTAAGACATCTGATTGATTGATCCCCCTCCCGTAGTTCCCGCCCACCCCCCACCCCCCCAATCAGCATCCTTACTTCAAGGACACGCTCTCAGTCCCACGAGGGAGAAAAACTCTTACAGACAGACATCCTGCGGGCGCCACTACAAGATATTTTATCCCCCTCAGCTGTTTTTTTTAAAAGGACAAAAAAAACCTTCTTCTAAATATCATCAGTTGTGGATATGCAGATTACATTGACGTGGATGTTGGGGGGGGGGGGGATTCCCATAAAGGCAGCAAAAGGAGCGTATGTGTCTTTGGGCACGACCCCGTGTGACCCTGCACGACCCCACATGCGAGACCCTAACCTGAGTGCTTTGAGGGACAGATTTGTGATGGAAGTGCAGGAGGACATGTCCAGGTGCTTCAGCCTGGGGCAGAACTTGCTGAGGCTGGTGCAGGTCCTGGAGGAGGAGGGAGAGGAGCAAGCTGGTTTATGGAGACTCCTGGTAACTCCACTTAGGTAGGTAGGTACTTAATGCCATCTCAGCATCTCCGTCAGCTGTCTCATGGCAAGACCTCAGTTCAGTCAATAAATATTCACATAGAGATAGAAATCAGATAAAATTAGTTACAAAGTAGCATCCCTCTATTCACAGTAACCGCCGTTCCAGTCATCCATGGTTTACCACATCCGGAAAAAAAAAGTAAAATGTTTAACAATGTTCCTCCATCCCTTGAGGGGCACAAAAAGCATTATTTTCATTGCTCCCTCATCCCTTGATACATGAAGTTTTTTCATTGTTCTATTGTCTCATGATAATTTAAGCTAAAATGTCAGAATCCCTTTCATTCGAGAGAGAACAGTACTGTACTTTTATTACTGTAGTTCATGCTGGTAATGTCTTACTGTGCGTAGTTTATCGATTAACACATGTAAGTACATTTGGGGTGACGACTGGACAAACATTACGTATCAATTCATTCTTTTATATATAAATAAATGGATAACTTGATGACAAGATCCTTAACTCCATTAAAGAGAAATGAGGAAAAACAGACATGATGAAAACTGTTGTCATGAGTATTCTGTAGTGAACATTAGTATTCTGCAGTTAACATGAGTATTCTGCAGTTAACATGAGTATTCTGTAGTTAACATGAGTATTCTGCAGTTAACATGCATATTCTGCATGGTCTCAATAACAGGAGGCTAAAACACTGCATGACATAAAGTTTCCTGTTGTAACCATGTGGCCGTTCCAAACATCCAGTCATTATTTGTGCCAAGGAGACGTAACATAAGCTGGGGTTGCCAGCCCGTTTATTGGGATGATGACTGTTGGTGTATGGAGGACAGGCAGTGGTGCCCTTCATCACCGGCCGTCTCAGAATTCCCCAAAATAAAATGATCGTGTCCCGGACTCTACTGCAGGCAGGACGGGGACAAATTGCCCATCTTCCTTAAGGGGGCCAAGATGTCTGTGTCAGTATTGGCACCCACTCACAGAAGGAGGGCTGGGGAAGTTCATGGGGATCTGGCCTGGGGGGGGAGGGGGGGGCATAGTAGTAAACTTGATAAGGGGGGCTTAATAAAAGTTGCAAAAGTTGATGACTGGGGGGGGGGGTAAAAGTTGTCATGCACCGGCAGACAAGGGAGAGCTTGCACAATAGGTCGTGATCATTTGTTTGTATTTTTAGCATCTTTGGGTGATTTCTTTTTTTTTGGTGGGGGACACAGGCGGTCATTAGGATACCACCACTGGTTTGAGGAGATGGGACCCGGACTGAGAGGGATGTAAATGCAGCACATTGTAGGGGGGGGCATGGCTGATTTGGGTCGCGGCAAGTTCTGAAAGGGTCGTGAGGCAGAGTTGGAAATTTAAGCACTTTAAAACCAGTCAATGCTGATCCACAATCAGATTTCCCAGTCCCTCCCAATCCTAGAATAAACCTACATAAACGGGTCTTGGGTCTGCAAATGCTTAGTGCAGAACTAGTGAACACTCAACTAATCCAAGAAGCCAAACCACTGATTGGCTCTGAGGTTCTGTGGAAGGGGGCCGTCCGACAAAGCAAAGACACACTCACGTGTCGGTGATCTTGGTGCACCCGTTGAGGCTGAGCACCTCGATACTCCTGCAGTTCTGGGCGAAGATCCTGTTGGAGAGCGACACGCGAACTGAGCATGTGCAAGGGTGCCCCCCCCCCTTCTACCCAGCATGCCCCACTGCCTACCTCAGCGCACTGTCCCCGACGCCCAGGCAGCCCCTGAGGCTCAGCTTCCTCAGGAAGCCCCCGCAGCGTTTGGAGATGTTCTCCACCACTCGGCCCTGGGGGTGGGGGGTGGGGGGGGG